TCAAATGTAAAATTTCACTAAGTTAGTTTGATAATATTAGCAGAATAATTTACAGATATCAATTTGATATATGAAATATACAAATAAAACTAATTTGAACTAATAAAATACTTTATTAGCTTGAATTATAAACAAAATCTTATCCACCCACAAGTGACTTAGAATCAATAGCAAATCTCTATAAAATGGGATTACTTACTCCAACACCTATTTATACACCAAATGCTATTTAAACATTTTGGTCATTTTTTAACAATGCATTAGCCACAAATAAGAAAACAAGAGATGAAAAATGGCGTATTCTTTCGATAATTGCTTCAGATTTTACTTATTCAGAAATAGAGAAACAGTTAAATGTAAGAAATTGTTATTTTTCTCATAATAAATTCATAATATATAATATTTCAATTGATAATTATGAATTAAGGTTGGTACACATACGATAAAAGAAGCCCGACAACATGCACGTATCAATGGCTATGGTGCTCCTCCATTAAAAAAGCCAATTATTAAGCATTTGAAATTCAAACAAGAGCAAATAAATCAATTTGAGAATTTTTTTTCAAACAAATCAATCGTTAATATGAGCTCATATAAATGTAATAAAAAAACTGGATTACCTATGATGTACTTACAAGATCATAAAAAAGTATTATGGGAACGTTTCTATGAACAGTATCCTAATGGTATAGATCGAACAGCTTTTATGGCTCGCTTGCAAGGTAGTCGATTTGTTTATCAGGATAATTTAGGTGGACTATGCTCAACATGTAACGAATGTGGATATGAAGTTTTTAACGATATAGAAGCTTTAATTAAAGCTCATATTGAAGATGTTAATTTACAGGTATAGTTAAAGTAAAAAATTAATATTATATGAGTGTCGCTAAAAAAACCCCTGAAAATTTAAATATAAGCTATATTTAAATTTTTGATATTTTTTTTAGCAACACTCATATACAGTATATGTAAATTTTAATATAAATAATTTCATGCTAATAGAAAGAATTGCGTACTGAACTGCAAGAATTGAGACGTTATATTCGCCGTGAATTTCCCAGACAACTTAAAATAACTAATACGGGAGTTGCAATGTATGATCCGTGTGTTGCACACTGTCTTTGTTATGCACTTGGCAATTGTAATAAACAGCATCCAATAATTTGTTCAAATTGTGAAAATTTTTTCAAAATATTTGACAAATTAAAAAATACATTGCAATTAGATTTATATAATTCCATTGAAGAATATCAAAATAAATTGATAAATTAGATGGCTCATTTAGCACGTAAAACTTACCTAAATGTACATGTTCAAGTAAATCTTAATAAGTTAGATAATCATGGTGCAGTAATAATTGTTGATTTCAAAATGAAAATATTACCCTAACATTCACGTGAGACGAAGAAAGATTTCTATGGAAAACATGGATGGAGTTTATATTCTGTATTGGTATATACAAAAGATATTACAAACAATCAGTTAAATTTAGAAGTATATGATCATTGGTCAGATGATAGCAAACAAGATGCATGGTTCACCATATCTTCTTTACATACCGTATTTGAAACAATGGAGAATAAGCCTAAATAGGTAACCATTATCTCTGATAATGGTCCCCATTATTATTGCACAGAGTTAATGCTAATATTAGGACACTGGAAAGAATGGTATAATATTGTTCTACAAAAATGGATATTTTTAGAGGCTGGTGAAGCCAAAATCTCTATCGATTCACATCACGCACAGGTAATATTCAGACCTGTATTTAAAAATAAGCATAATTTCTTATAATAGTTTGATTACATATTTAGATATCACAGGCAATCAAACGATATGTTAAATTAGGGTTTAGTCTTAATTCAGGTAATGATATTGAAAATGCAATAAAGGATATCGCAGGTACTCATGTATCTAATATTACACCTGACCGCCCGGATAGTAAGTATAATCTTATTATCTTGATAAATTTGAATAATTATCTAATTTATTTGAAATAAGAAAAAAAAAATTAGGAACTATTGCCGGAATTTCAAATTTACAAGAATGGACATGGTCTACAGATAGTGAAAAAATTGGATTTATTGCGGCAAGAGCTTTGCCAGGAATAGGAGATTGGAAAGAATGGTCTCTCACGAATTTAAATAATATTACAAAATCACAAAAAATAGAAAAACCTAATCCTATCTCGACAAATCATACTCAACCTCATAAGTCTTGGACAATGCCAATTATTCAAGACCAAAGTATAATCATGCTATTATATCTAAATGTTTATAAAAAAAAAATCTTTATTTTATAACTTGAAAATGTTTACTAACAAATTTTTACATAATTTATTAGAAAGGATTGATTCTTGTAATTTGCAACAAATAGAAGTTTCAGAAGCTTCATATGACGAAAATAATGTACGTAAAACCTAAACATTGTATTATAGATATAACATATCAATAAAAAATTTTTTAGAACTTTGAAACTATAGATTTGACAATTCTAATAAAGACTAATGAAGCTTGCGAAATCAGAAGGTACTATAATTTAAGCTTACCTAATTACTGATCAAATTCGTGTTTAATTTTTGAATGTTCGAATTATGAATTCTTTTTTAGTAATGTTTTTACTAGTGGTTGGGCTTTGAAAGAAAATGAAAGAAAAGCCAAGCGCCAACCTGTTATAAGAATGACTACTCACGTTAAAAAATTATTAGAGATTATGTTTTATACAGGTACGGCTAATCTATCGCAAAAATTAACGGCGCAACAAATGAGAGAAGAACTGATACGTCGTGCATAAGCCGGTGAAATTAAAGAT